CCCCCCCCCCCCCCCCCCCCTCACCACTCCAACTATCTATCTGTCTATCTGTGTCCTCTACCAACCCCACCCCCCTCCTCTCCCCTCTCTTCAGATCCGTTACATTCAGCAACAAATTTCTGCTGCATCAGACGTCCATCATAGATCCCCCGCTCAGCCTGAAACGTGATCAGACCCCATACGAGGCTACGCACTAGGAAGGGGGAAAAAAAAAAAAAAAGGAGCAGAAGCTAAAACCGTTAAACGTTTCCCATGTTCAATAAAATCTGCTGAGGAGACGATGTCAAGTCAAACCTGTAGAAGACTACTTTGACCCCTTCTGCTACTTGACACTTCCACCACTTTGGTTTGCTGGGTGACTCATCTGACCTTTCTTGTCTAGGCCCGACCCTGTCTGTCTGTGTGTGTGTGTGTGTGTGTGTGTGTGTGTGTGTGTGTGTGTGTGTGTGAAAGCCAGAGAGAGAGAGAGAGAGCGAGAGAGAGCGAGAGAGAGAGAGAGAGAGAGAGGAAAAGTCTCAGTGGTGCACATAAATGATTGACAGCATAGTGGGACTCCACTATGTATTTGCTGGTGTGGATTTTTTTGCTGGTGTTGATCTGTGTGTGTGTTCAATATGCTAAATATCAAAGTGTGCATGCATAAGTAGAGCACAACAGTCATTTCTATATCTCTTTATAGCAGTAAACAAACTTTGATGAACCCGGTTCTTGCTCTATTTCCTCCTCTTTCACTATGACTGGATTATTAAGTCGAAATTTATATTGAACGCTGATATGATTTATGTAGAATTATTGTTATTAGCACAAAAGGCTGATTCGTTTATTTGCTTTACTACATTTTATTATTTCCTATTTCAGTACCTTGTATTTTAATATACAAAGTATGATTTCTCACCAACCATGACTTTTAAAATATTGGTTATAAAATGTTATATTTGTTATCTTGTATGATCGTGTGTTGGACACTTTAATTTGAAAATCCAACTCTGTCACCTGAAGAGTAATGGGTTTAAAATACTCACTTTTTATAGTGGCAGCTTTATTCTTAAAAAATGTCAACTTTCAAATTAGTTATTAAGGTTTTTAAATCTTAAACAAATTATAATTACAGTAACAGAAACAATTTCCTGTTTGTAAACTATAAGTAAAAAACATTGAATTCTTGGCCTTTTGTTCCTTTTTATTGCTCATAAATAAATGCATTTATGTACAGATTTTCTTTTTCTTGATATCTTTAAGATTTTTGTCCTAATTTATTTGTAGCCTAACAATTAACATTGTTCTTACTTTTGTTAAGACATTAACAAACATTAAGCATCACAATGTGGCCCTTGACTATTGGAAGCAAAATCTCACAATACGATTTAATCTAAATCCAAAACAATCCAAAACTCACACAAAAAAAAAGAAATCAGTGTACTCTTTTAATTGTGATACTTGCAATAAACCCACTCAAAAACAGCAAATGCCAGAGCAGACAGCGCTTGTGCCCACACAACCTCAGCGCACATCATTTTCAAACAGCATTCGCTTCAAATAAAAAAAGTAATCTTCTCCTAAATGTCAGAGGAGACTTTCTTGGCAATTGCCACCTCACCGAGAACGTTTCAGTGTGGCCTTCGAGCTGATGTGTCTGCACACAGTTCCAAATCTGATTAGCTTTCCACTCTGTTGAGGTTGAGAAGTTAGACAAGGTTAACCTCCAGCTCCAAAACGTTGTTGGATACGAGTCTGCACTCTGCTCTGTCTTTGCAAGGTTGGGTTGCCTGAACTGCTCATAGAAAAAATATATATATTGTTCCTCACAATTCACTACCAGTAATGATTTGATTGCTTCATTAAATCCTATTTCTCCCCGTACTCCAATTTACCTTTTCTTTCCTTTATTGCATTTCTGCAGCAATAATTAACATAAGCGTGTCTGAACCGATGTTTGGCCTCGTGTCTTTGCCGACGGGGTAATAGAGTTGCATTTTCAACCTTGTGCCCGTTTATCATTTTGTAGCTTTCTATACTGACAGGCTTCTGATTTCTTGCCATGAATGAGCTCCGCTGTCACCAATTCAGCCCTAATAAGCCATACCGACGCACTTCACTCGCACCGACTGAATCACTGAGGCAAATCATTCAGAGCACTCCTGCGGCGCTCCTGTTAGCGTATGAGCCTGTGTGAATGTGTGTGTTTCTGTGTGTGTGCGTGAATATGAAGTGAAATCTAATGTATTCATAAAAGCTCTTTTAACAACAGGTTCGTCACAAAGTGCTTTGATGAGAACAAAGGACACCAATTCAGATGAAAACTACAGATAAACAAAAAGAACAAGTATTGTGTGTATATATATATATATGCGTGTGTGTGTGTGTGTGCTTGATGGATGTGAGGTTTGGTTTTGAGTCAGAGGCAGCCGAAGTCTGAGAGTGTGTGTAGGATGATGAGCCTCCTACCACGTCCCTCCCTGTCTCTCAACAACTGTCTCTCTGTCTCCCCCCAATCACTCCATCTCTTTTATGTGCCAACATGTCTTTCACAAATATAGATTAACGATTTTATGATTGATTCAATTTATTTGTTAATTACTTTTTTATGTTAAATAAAAAGAGTCATTCAACTGGTGAAACTTCAGTGGAAAGCATACCTTTCAGACAGTACAAAGGGGGCATATAGTCAACATATACCACCCAGTATATAATCTGTACGTGCTGCATCCTTGACTGTTTGTATGTGTACGTCTGTTTGTGAATGTGTGAATATGTGTGTGTGTGTGTTTGAGTGTGTGTGTGCATGTTTGTATCCCTCACAGTGATTAAAGCAAGTGGGCGGCAGCAGCAACTGGTCTGCCTGTGTGGCTCTGCATAGCAGACATGTTTCTCACTGCTAGATATTACTCATTTCCTCAGCCCTTTGCGCACACACACACACACAGTCACATACACACACACTTGACACGCACACAGTCACATACACAACAGAGAGAGAGCGACGGATAGCAGGCTCTCAGTTCTTTCCCTCAGTTTGTTGGGCTCGCTGGTGTTATTTCATGCATGCAGAGATCAGAGGCAGCGTGTAGCTGGAGGCTGCATGCAGATATCTGCGGGTGTTGGAACTTGTGGCAGTGCTGCTGAGGAGCAGTGTAGCACAGTGGGGAGCTGAGGAGTGGGTTGACCCTCTGGGAGGACTGGAATATGAATGACTGCCAAGACTGGGACGTCTGCTCAGCTCGCACTCAGGTCAGTCTCGCATCCCATCCCAGCAAGTGCTGTAGAAACTCCATCAACCTGCTCCCACATTCTCTAACTGCTCTTTCGGATTAAAGAAGCGGTAATTTGCTGCTTTTCTTTTGCAAACAGCATCTCTAAACTATCAGTTGATGTTTTTGTTTGATATTCTGTAGTTCCGCTTTTTTGAGGTTTGCAGTCATGAGTATATAGTGCATTTGACAGTTCCTGAGAAATGCAACTAGAGAAAAGGCGGGATGAGGTGGAGCAGTGTCAAAATTGACAATTACATGAGAGAAAGTTGAAGAATGTGAGCATTTCACTTTGTAATTGGGGTTTGAAGCTTAAAAAAATTGAAGTAATTTAAAAGACATATTGCATTTATATTATAATTGTATTACCTTGGAAAGAGAGTGTAATATAATCATGCCTGAGATCTGTATGATTTTATATGTTTAAATGCACTATAGCTCCAGCTACACTCCAGCTCTGCGTGTATGTCTGCAAAGTGTAGGAGTATTCTGTTCGAAGACACTTCTCTGCAAACTCCTCCACTTGCACAATTATGTTCTTTGTTTTCTTCTACTTTTTTTGGCGAGTTCATATTAGGTCTTTTTTGACAGGCTGTCGAAAACAAGGGTGTCGGAGTCATTTGAGGACGAATACTGAAACTAGATTTTTGTTGTAGGGAAATCTGGATTCTATTCTTGTGCAACCAAAGCAGAGTAGAGTTGTGATAAAACCTTTTGATTACTCTGTGGAATATTTTAAGATAGCTATTACATGTATGATTGTTTTAAGTATTCAATTGGCCAAATTGAATTTTGATAATTAATTTGTATTTTTTTCTTTTCCATTTAGTTTTCTATAAACGTTTGGATGTTATACTCCTACGATATTAACCGGCTGTCACATTTAATAGATTGATAAAATCATCATAATTAATTGATGAAAAACAGATTACTCTCGAAAGAAAATGATGGAAAAAAATATGCACGGGTTACGTGAGGAAGGATTTCCGATTGTTGAAGCCGTCAGCGGCCATTTTTTTCTCGAGAGCAGCAATTTTTCATGAACCCCAGAGGTCAAAGGTTGTTTTCAGCCCACATAAGGCCATGTTGTCTTTCAGCCAAGGCCAAAAAAATATCAATTAAATTGGACTTGATGTGGGTTTTACATCATAACAACAACATGTTTTTTTGTCCGTCACAAGCGTTTCCCACGTTCTACTCCATCACACTATCATGCGAGTGTCTGGGACAATTAATTCCCCTCCTCTCACCACCCAGTTTGCAGTTTTTCCACTCAGATGCACAAACAGCTTGCTCCACTCCAACACTTATTCTGTTTTTGGACCAAGTCACTTGATGAGCAACAGTTTACCCGCCTCTCCATGGAGTATCCCCATTTAACCTCTCTAACAGAGTGGCTGTGTGCGTGCATGCGTGTGTGCGTGTGTGCGTGTGTGTGTGTGTGTGTGTGTGTGTGTGTGTGTGTGTGTGTGTGTGTGGACACAGTTGCCATGGAGACAGTGTGGCGGATGGTGAGACGGCAGGGAGTTGGTAGGCTGTTGAGACAGACTTGCGGGTGAGTGCGGGGCTGAGTGGCAGCATGGTGCTGTGGTGTTGTGGCGGTGGCGGGAGCAGCGACGACGATGGTGGTGGCGGTGGTGGTGGTGGTGGTGGTGGTGGTGGAGGGAAGGAACAGCTGGGCTGGCGGCGCGGCAGCCATCACTTCAAAAGAGCTCATTTAAAACGTTTGGAGAAGAATAAGTAGAGCTCCCCCGCACTTCTCACTGAATGAAACAAGACTGCAAAATCCCTGACACATTTGAGGACTCGAACACAAACACACACACACACGGAGACCTAAACAAATAAACACATTCACACACTTCTCGCGGGAAGGAAAAAAAAAAAAGAAGAAAATTACACACGCATACACACACAGACAATCACACACATTTCCACACACCCCTGCTGTGACACATAATTAATATGCAAAGACACATATCCTGTATCCACAACAACTGGTGGTAATATCAACAGTGTCTCTGTCAGCTTTTGAGTGGGCGGTGACCAGCTTTGCCTTTCACTGGGGGAGTAAGTACAGCCGCCTGAGGGAGTATTTGTGTGTCTGCTGCTGTCCGTGTGCGCGTCTGAAAGAGAAGGGGTGGCTGCTGCTAGTAGTAAGCTCGTATAGATACAGAGAACACCCGGGGGTGTCGTGGGGGTGGTTCATGAAAGTGGTACAAAAACATATCTACATATTCCAATCATCCCCTGAGAGTCAGAGATGAAAACTCTCCTGCTGTGAGCGCTCTGTGTGTGTGTGTGTCTATGCTTTTACACACACACACACACACACACACACACACACACACACACACACACACACACACACACACACACATACTGCACTGCCTCTGAACTTCATTGGCTGCAATATATATTTTTAGTCCACATGTGGGAGTAATGTGTTTGAATGAAACGAGTAAGTCGGTAGTTTCAGTCCCACCGCAGTGCACAAAAGGTAATGACTACTTAGTGGCAGCTATCACAAAGCGTTTCTAACCTATTTAAAGTAGTTTATATGAGGGAGTCACTGGCTGATTTCTCGCCATCTGTTTGATGCTGAATGTTTTATTGCATGTCTGACCAGATTGACGGTCTTAACTACAGCTGATGCCAGGACCTGACAGACTGTCCTTTTTTCTATGTTCATACTTAATCTCTCTTTCTTCTGTCCCCGTCCTCTCCCTCCTTTTTTTTTTACCTCCCCCATCTCTGTTCCTGTCCTCTTTCATCCGTTCTCTAGGTGAGTGGCGCTTCAGTACAACAGACTCAACAGTGATCTGACAGTGATGCTGTGTCGCAGCCTTCCCCTCTGTCTGCGCCCCTCGTTCTCCCGTGAGGCCCATGTGACCTAGCCTTCACCCACACACAGGGGGCCCCCCAGTTCCGCTGGAGCCCACCCATGAATCCCAGCCCCGACCGCGGCAAAGAGTGCCTCCCTCCTAAGAAGAGGGAGTCTCGGCAAGGATCGGTAGAACACCACATCCCTCTGGACGAGTTTAAACCCCCCGTGCCGCTCCGGAGTCGGTCCAGCGGAGGAGGAGGGGAGGGAGGCAGGGAGGCCAGTGACAGGGGCCGAGCTCTGATTAACCCAAACCCCCATCTCCTACATACTCCTCCACCCCTTCCTGCTCCAGCACCAGGCCTCCCCCTGCCCCTGCCCCTACCATGGCACCTGAGCTACTCTCCCTCTGTCTCTCTCCCCCTTTTCCCAGGGCAGGTCGGCGAGAGGAGGGGCTCAGGGTCTCCCGCATGGAGAGATGATCCTCTCCCCTCACCCCTGCCCCACCACTCCAGGTGGCTTAGAGGGGAAGGGCCCCTCTCCTTGCCACTTTCCCCATCTTCCTCCTCCGCTTCCTCATTCAAGACTCCCTTCCCGGCCGATTCTCGAGAGATATGGTCCTACATTAACAGCAGCCGGCGGGACAACAGCTCCTCTCTCTTCTCCCCATCCTACTTGTATAGTCACAACTCTCTCTACCCTCAAGATCCAAGCTTTGTTGAAGCCCGACACAGATACCTGGGCAAGAGGCCCAACGGCCTGGATGGGCCAGGCAGCAGGACTGCCTCGACCTCCAGGCCTCTGCTCACAGGAGACTATGGGAACGATAGCAGCAGAACCAGGCTGGACATCAGTCCACACAGCTCCCATACCAACGGTGGACGGAGACAGCAGGAGGATCTAACGTCCCGTGTCCATACAGGAGGGCCATTTTTGCCAGACTCTCAAGCTCAGGAAGGCCCTGAGCCACATTCCTCACTGCAGGACAGACATTCGCATGGGATAGTTAAGACCAGCTTACTCTCCACCAGTCCCCATCCTCTCGGACCAGTCCCCAGGGCAGGTCGAGGGGGACTGTTGGACCCCCTCGGAGTTACATCAGCTGAAGCCCAGATCTACTACTCCTTGGGATCGGTGTGCCACCCCTGCCCTCAGGTCCACCCGCTCTACAGCCCCTCAGGAACAGCTCTGTACAACCTGCACAGGGAGCCAGGACCCAGGCAGCACAATCTAAGGAACTCACCACACTCACCCCTGGGTCTACCTAACAGCCATGACAGGTCGCAAAGAGACCGGGACAGAGACCAAGAAAGAGACAGAGAAAAACTCAGAGTTAAAGACAAAGAGAAGCACCTACAATATGACAAAGACGAAGAAAGAGACAGTGAGCGCGAGAGGCGACGGGACAGAGAAAGAGACAGAGGGAGGGAGCTATCTCCTTCTCATCTTCACACCTCACCCCCGGCCCTTCACCCATCTCCCCCCGCGCTCCTACCTCACTTCACCAAGGGTTCTCTGATCGAGTTGGCCAGCGGTCGATTGAAGCGGGTAGAGGAGCTGCGGACCGAGGACTTCCTGAGGAGCGCAGATACCTCCCCAGAGTTCCACCTCAGCACCTGCACCGTGCTGCTGATTTCCCCCAGCAGTGCTCAAGGCTTCAGCCACCTGCAGGTCCACCTCACAGACCGCAACACTCAGGTCAGCTTTCTCTCTAGTTATTCGCTCCAGCTTACAACTTGAGAGGCAGATGTCTACATCAAAGCATAATCAGACATAATTTAATGAATAACTGCATGATAAAGATGAGTGTTAATGCAAATCAGTCACAATTTATGCTGTAGATGTTCTCAGGTGGAATTAATTAATACTTGACACATGTTTTTACCCACCAAAGTCAGATTGTGGTGATGATAAGTGAAAGTCATGAGAGACCTCTTGGTTGAGTGTGTAACAATGTTGTGGTTCTGTGTAGGAGTTACTGAAGGTCTTGGTGGAGTATCCGTTCTTTGTGCAGGACCGAGGCTGGTCTTCTTGCTGCCCCCAGAGAACCACGCAGCTGTATGGCCTGCCCTGCCGCCAGCTCATGGAGGGGGATGTCTGCCTGGCTCTCACCCCCACCCCGACCCAAACCCACCGGACACACACGCGTACCGGCTCCAGGGCCCATCGCACGCAACTCCTCCCCACCAAGGCTGCAGGAGAACCCAGCAGATCGCACAGGGAGGAGATGCCGCCTCCACCTCCTCCTCCCCCTCTTCCTCTTCCTCACCACCCAGCTCCTACTGCGCCGGCTCCTCCTCGTGCTCCGGCTGTAGAGCCTCCCACCCCGGAGCAGCCGCGTCCACGCAAACGGCGCTGGTCTGCCCCGGATACCCTTCACTCAACTGGAACTGATAACAGCCTCCTGGATTTACCTCATGGCTCCAAGCTAATGAAGTGGCAGTAGAATCTTGGAAATGCATACGTCTACATGCATACTTACACACACACACACACACACACACGTGTATAAGCATACATACACACCCTCCTTGTCTCTGTTGCACCCACCAAGACAAACAATGGAGAGACCTCAAGGTAGGGTTGCAGGGAAGGAATTTTTAAAAAAACAATAGAAAACGCAATTTACGGGTGTCCACACTGCTGCCCGAAATGTTAACCTAGTCCATCCTAGTCTGACCCTATTTGTATCCTCCTTTCCTTTCCTTTTCCTCTCCTTTCCTTCCCTCAACCTCACTTAGAACAGCCCTGAGAGGAGCAGCAGCTGAAGGATCTCTAGATGGCTCCTTACTGACACACTGAAGACATTTAGTGAGACAATCAAGCACTTGTCTGTGGTCACTCTGTTTTTGTAATGGTTGTCCCACACACCTACTTACTGACAGTGTTTTCTGCAGGGTATCGATTTTCAATCAGTGTTATGAAAGTAAACGCTATTGAAGAAGTGCAGATATATATGAACAAATATATATATATATATTTATTAATACAAATTTTAATAACAGTGATTGAAAATCGATACCCTGCAGAAAACACTGTCAGTAAGTAGGTG